CTGGCACACGGGGTTGTTCTTTCCCAGGTGCGAGACTCCACACTTGACCTTGCTGTATTTTCCTAAAACTTCTCTCCATCCAACTCTCCAGCCTGTCCAGGTCTTGCTGGGCGGCAGCACAGCCTGCTGGGGCATCAGCCCCTCCTCCCAGCTTTGTGCCATCAGCAAACTTGCTGCCAGGGCCCTCTGTCCCGTCCTCCCGATGAGTGTATTGAACAGTGCTGGTCCCAGCACCGACCCCCGAGGGACTCCAGTGGGTCCAGGGAAGATGGGTGATGGGACTGGAGCACCTGGTTGAATGGCTGGTGCCATCCTCAAGAGTTGGGCTTCCATGATCATGGCTCTACCTTGGGAAGTCAGATATACCTTTGAGAAGCGGGGTCTCTTGGGAGCTCAAGGCGCTCACCCAAACATCTGTGGGTGTTCCCCAACAAGTTTCTGGCTTTACTAAGCCAGGCTTCTGTAGGAGCCTTAAACTAGACTTAGGAAAGAGCTACCAAGGTGCTGAAGTGACTGGAGCATCTCTCCTAGGAGAGGCCGAGGCTGCTGGGATGGCTCAGCCTGGAGAAGACACTGCGGGAGGTGTCTCATCAATGTCTCTAAATACCTGCAGGGAGGGTGTGGGGGGACAGAGGTTTGGGCATGGCCCTTCTTCTCCAGGAAGATTCAGAGAAGGAGCTCACCACCTGGGTAAAACCCTGCAGGCGCTGGGGTATACTGGGAGCACTGGGCAGGGTGGCCGTGGCATTTCCTGCCTCTGGCCAGCTGTTGGGACCAGTGTGGGGAAGGTGAGGCCTCCATCTCCTCCACCACTATCTCTTGGGAGGCGCCTTGAGCCCCGTGATAGCCCCTGAGAACGTCTGAGTCCCCTCCACCACCATTTCGGGAACAACAGGAAACCAAGATGGATCCTTCAGTGTTTAATGATGCAGGAAGGGAGAGGAGGGATAAAGCAGGACAGAGGCCACTGATGGTGGACACTGGGACACAGAGAAGCAGCCCTTGGCCGACACTGGGGTGGTGGAGGGACTCCAGCTCCTCGTGGGGGCTCACGAGGGCAGAGTTGGCCAACTCAAGACAAGGGTAGTGGCTTTGGGGAAATGCCCATGGGGACGCTCTCCAGGTTCTTGCTGTAGCTCGGCAGGGTTGGAGGGATGGGGATGCTCAGGGTCCCTGAGGGAGCAGTGGTGGGTCTGTGTGAGAGCTTCTCACTCAAATTAGGCAAGAGGGGGGAGCAGGATATGGGGGTTGGAGGCTCAGGGTGCTCATGTGCTGCCGGTCCCCCGTGCTGGGATCAGAGGGAGCTGTTTCCTCTGTGCCCATGGGGACAAGCCACCAGCAGGGTCATTGTGAGAAGGGAGCTAACGGCTGGCCCTGGGGGGGGCTCCCCCGGCCCTA